AGAGGGGGAAGGCTGATGGGAACGACCATCAACAATTCTTACGACAATATTAACCATAAACTAATTTCAGCAAAATTTAAAAAACTGCCCATTATGTTGGCCATTATTCCAAAAAATGACAATCATATAGGTCGTCATAAAAAATGATCCACTATGTTGCCACTTTAATCAAAATTCGTACAAAAACCAACGCAGTGTGCTAAAACTGTTTGTCATTTTTAGTACACAATGTTGGCTATTGCTATGAGTTTTGATGAAAAGTGACAACTTAGTGGACTATTTTTTATGACACTGTATATGATGAACTACTTTCGAAATATAATCCACATAGTGTACGCAAAATGAAATTTCGCCAATTAGTTTTAACCGACGCTCTGCGTACCTTGCCTTAACCAAGTTAGAAGTCCAACTCCAACGTTAATGCACGTAAAGAAAAGCTTTCTCCTCTTAAAAATCCTTCTACATGGAGCATTTGATGTAAGGTAATATATATTGAAACATGCTAGGGGAGATCATAATCATTTAAAGTCAGCGGAGTATATATATATTCACATATATAAGAGTTAACCTTTTGTCTAATTTTTTTATTCTAATTTGTTCCATAAACTCGGTCATTAAGCCTTAAATTGTCCAGTGAAATGAGAATAATGGAGGTGATGACTTGGTACGTATGTGATTGAAAGGGGAAAAGGGACTTATTCAAGAAAGTATTGATCTTGTCAACAAAGTCAGTCCCGGTCAGTAGCAGCATACAAATGGGACATAAAATTTTGTTTCGTGTAGGGTCGAAAACTGAGAGAAATCAGGCAGTTGAGAGTGCCATGAAATTTATGAGCACAAGCACAAAAGACTGTTAAATATATGTCCACTTGGTCACGATTAGAGGTGTTCATCTGTCGGTTCGATCGACCGACCGAACCGAACCATAAAAACCGAAAAAACCGAATTGATATTTTTTAAAAACCGAACCGACCGAATTAGGTTGTTAAAACCGAACTAAAACCGAACCAAAAAGTTCGGTCGATTAACCGAATTTTTGCAAAAAAATATTTTTTTTTATAGATTGTCACTTGGCCCAAACAAATGGGTCTTTTAATTGGGCCCAAACACAATTATCCATGCAACAAAAATTCAACCTAAAACATATTCAAATTAAACAAGTCCAAGTCCAAACTAAAAAACCTAAAAATAACAAATTAAACAAGTCCAAGTCTAAACTAAAAATCCTAAAAATAACAGCCCAAACAAAGTCTAGAAAAAAAACATAAAGTCCACATGAATTCATCAATTCAAACAGCCCATAAAACAACAATAAAATGGCACCAATATAAAATCCCAACAATAAAACACCAATAGTAATAAAGGGCCACAAAAATCTGAGAAGCAATTAAAAATCCCATAAAACATCCTCAAAAAACCTCTAAAACAGCCTTCCAAACAGCCCGGAAAAGGTCTCCAAAATAATCCCAAAACATCCTCGAAAAGGCCTCCAGAAGGACAAAAACAGTACAAAAACAGCAGCAAATCAGCATTACACCCCTTCAAAGACACCCATCAAATGAACCTAAAAAGAAAAAAATATAGCCCAAAAAAAGCACAAAA